GTTTTCTGTGCATGGTCGGTGCGGAGGCTACATAACGAGATTCCAGGTAGTGTTTCAGAATATTTCAGAGAGTTTAAGTGTTTCAGTGTTAAGTGACAGTGAGAAAGTTCTCGGTGGAAGATAGCCACGGAAAGTTCGTAGTGTGAAAACTGGGCGTGTGATTAGAATACTTAAGAGTGGTTTGAAGCGCTAGTTTCTGTGTTGGGATCCACTACCAAGAGAGGACTAGTGTGAGTGTGTGTGATACAGTGGATTATAAAGTGTGTGAAAATCAGCGATAGCGCTGTAATTTGAGTGTGATTAAGAGACGTTGTAACCAAAGTGTTAATAAATCCAATCATCCGAACTAGAACCCGCCCTTCTCGGCACGCGTACCACCCTACACGTGACAGTATAAAGTATTTTCTTCCTCTTTACCCCACGTGTTGGTCAGCGGTATACATCTGTGTGTGCAGCTGCAACGGCGATTCAAATCATACCGGCAGGCGTGTTGAGACTCACGCCATTTGTAATCATTCTGTCAGAGCCTCCATGAAATGATATTAGCAGCTAGTGTTCTTATGTTTGCGAGGCGTAATGGTGTGATGGTGACTTGCAACATACACATATAGCAAGTAGAGTTGACTAGTTTTACTTCTTGCAACACTAGCTGATTATGTCGAGAAGTTTTTAGAATTAAAGCAGCAAAGCAAAGCCACAATCCGCTTCAACAATGAGAAAGACCGAATTACAAGCAAACTTATTCAGCCAGAATCACCAAACTAGTTGGCTTACAGGGCAACCTCTTCTCGCCGTCTGGTTCCAATCTCAGTTGGGTCACTGGCAACTTAAATGAGGTTTTCATGGGTTTCTTCTGTCCTTTCAGGCAAGTTGTGAAGTATGACTTCACATTAGGCCACAAACTCTTCCTTCCACATTCTTTCCAATTCATTATTAATTAATTCTTATATTTTCATTTATATATATATGATTTGTATTTACACTTATAATCTGAGTTACTGATAGCGTCACTGAATAAGGAATAAATAAATAAATAAATAACCAAGCCCTTGGTACAGAAAAATGAAAACTGTAATATACTAGATTTACTTGGGGTTACACGTACAGGATATTCTAGTTTCTCTGATGCCTTGTACGTGTTGGTTATCTAACTTCAAGAAACACACCCGCGATTACAGCAACATTAAAAGAACATTTACATACTTGTTCCCAAGACAAACCACTAAGGGTGTTTTTAAGCTGAAACACTCCCAACGAAATGTGGCAATTTGAAATGGAGGGGACGCAACACACAAAGCTAGGGCCTTACTGCTTGCTGTAACGAAGCCGGTATCATTTCTGAAAATCGTAATATACAGACATAAAACGTAAAATGTTATTTTAACCCTGGTTTTCAATTAATAAAGCACCAAATCATGAAGACGTACGGGGGGGGGGATGTATGGCTCCACTGTTCTTAACTTCGACATTAGACAGAGGTGAGTGGTTAGCTTCACGCCCTGGCCAATTAAACGTGTGGAAACAGCAGCCGGTACCCAGTGCACAGGAGGTTGGGTGGAATTCACATCTGGTTTGAACCTTATGGAAAAGAGGAAAAATTCTTGCCCTTGCTGGGAAACTAACCTTGATTCTTCGATCGTCCAGCTTCTAGGTAAAGTACTACAGATAAGAGAAGAACAGAGAACGAGACGCCGTACGGTTTTGTAGTAGTTTACCGACTATCCGAGAAACATACTGCCTCCAACTTCATGGTATTTTTAAGATTACGACAGACTCGGTATCTTCTCCTGAATCATCGGTAAACATCTACCAGGCTACACGGCGCGACATCCCAGAAAACAGCAATAATCATACCGTTGCGAGAATCTCAAGTGTCACATAAAGTATTGTAGCTTGGAGAATTATTTTAATGCACAGACGGTAGTTGACTACACATTTTAATGTTATTTGTACAACTTCTATGGTACATGTAAATGAGACATTTCTCAGTTGACTCGAACAAGAGGGCAGTTAGGAACCCTTTAGTTCGCCAAGTGAATGTCGACTCCCTTCAATATACATACACTAGTATACAGGGTGTTTCACGACTTTAGGGCATAACTGCAGGAGGTGATTTCCTAGGTCTTTGTGATAAAAAAAGTTCATATAAACATGTGTCCGATTTTGGACGGTTACGGAGTTATGACCGTTTTTTCATTTCCGTACACGCCCTCGTGTGAACCGTGTCTATCATCTGGCGGGTCGCTATTTTTAGCCAGCTACAGACAGAGCGTGCTCGTTATCTCGACACTTGAGAGGTACTTAAGGCGTGGTTGGTTGGTATGTAGGGCCACGGCTAGTGTGGCGGCTACTGGTGTTCACAACAGTTCTCATCTCGGTGCGTCTGTTACGTTCACGATGCCATTTACATTTTCATTTGAGGAGTATGCAGATATGATTTATGTGTACGGGTTTTGTGACGGTAACTCAGTTCTTGCCGTAGCTGAATATCAGCAACGGTTTCCGAATCGTAGAATACCGAACTGGAGAGTGTTTACTGGAGTTTACCAGGCATTGCGAGATACCGGTAGGTATTGCAGCCGAGCGTGGTGTTAATGTGGGCGTCAATGAAGAAGGCATTGTTCGTATGGTACACCGCAGTCCACTTACGAGTACGCGAAGAATTGCCAGCCAGGTCTCCAGACTTAAGCCCACTGGATTATTGTGTGCGGGGTTGAAAGAAAGAACTGGTTTACAAGGTGAAGGTGGAAACGCGAGATGCTTTCCTCGGTCGCATTCTGGAGCCGCTGACCACATAAGAAACAGCAAGCTGAAGCTGCTACGTTCTACCCGCGCGGTTCACAACCGAGCGGCAGCCTGTGTTGCGGCCGGCGGTGGCATTTTCGAAAATAAGCTTTAAGCACCAATAAATTCAAATTGAAGGTAATTTCACGAAGTTAACTTTACATTCATACTTTAAATGTATGATGTATTATGCTGGTTTATTGTTTTGTTCCGTTTATTGTCAGTAATCGTCACCTTCTATTCTGAGTTTAAAACGGTCATAACTCCGTAACCGTCCAAAATCGGACACATGTTTATATGAACTTTTTTGATCACAAAGACCTAGGAAATCACCTCCTGCAGTTATGCCCTAAAGTCGTGAAACACCCTGTATACAGAATGTCCGGATTAAAGGCATAAAAATGATACCTCGGAAACTAATTGTCTGTCATACAGGTATTCGGCTGATGTCATCGGAAAGAAAAACTGTGAAGTTTTATTTTTCATGCCCGGCTTACGCATATGCGCCAGCTGGTGACCTTCGGCGAGCTCAGAAACGATGTCGACACCACAGGAACAGGTTCAATGCGTGATGTGGCTAGCAGAGTTGCAGTCACTCATGGCTGTCCAGGGTCGTTTTAGAACGCAATATGGACGTGGGCCTCCTACACGGAAAAACATTCGGTTCTGGTACAAGAATCTGAGGACTGCAGGTAGTCTGCTGCTTGTAAAATCTCCTGGAGACACGGACCTCTGAAGAAATGTCAACCGCATTAGAGAGGCATCCCAGCGAAGTTCGTCTGCCAGCTTGCAGTTATACATTCCACGTTCAACAGTGCACAGTGCGCTACACAAATGGCTCCGCCTAAGAGCGTACAAGATTCAAATGATTTATGCACTAACACCGAGTGACCAAGTAGCACGCACAAACTTCGCTCTGGACAGGCGAGAAAGAATTGACGCGTCAACCGATTTTCCCTGTCAAGTGCGCTTCTCGGGCGAGGCGACGTTCCATGCCAGTGCAGTTGTCAACAGGTGCAGCTGCAGGAGTTGGGGCAGTCAAAATCCACATGTCACATGTGAGCTGGAGCGAGGCAGCCCCAAAATGAATGTGTGGGCCAGCTTGATGCATGGAAATTTGATTGGACAGTTTTTCCTTTCGGACGTTCGTACGTTGACATTCTGGAGCTGTATGCGCTGCCCCAATTACCACCTCAAACTATCCTCTAAGAAGATGGGGCGCCGCCACATTTCTGCCACCATTTTGGGAATAACCTGGACAGAGAGACGACTGGGAGATGGATCGGCAGAAGTGGGTCAATTGCTTGGCCTCGTAGGTCTCCAGATTTAAACCCAGTGGATGTTTTCTTGTCGGGTTATGTGAATAACATTGTCTATCAGGTTAAGATCAACGACCATCAACACCTGAAAGCCCGCATAAGGGACGCTGTGGCTACGGTAACACCAAACATTCCTGTATATTTGTCGTGCCACCAAGGGAGCCCACATTTAAATTTACTGTGAAAGTTATATACTCCGAAAAAATCTTTGATACTTTCCCTTTGCAATGGTGTAACCCATAAATGTGTATAATAAATGCTTTCTGATGTATAATGATTTTATTTCCAATAACTTTCATCCGCACACTCTTTACATATATACATAACTGAGCCGGGATAGCGCAGTCGGTATAGCGACTGGCTAACGGCTGGACGACCGAGGGATCGGAGTTCCAGAACGGTAGAGGCAAGAATTTTCTTTTCACGTCCTCCAGAAGGGTTGTGGGATCCATCCGGCTTTCTGTCCAATGGGTACAGGGGTTAAGCGCATGGGACGTGAAGCTGGCCACTCACCTCCAATTATTGCCGAGGTAAAAAAACGTGGAGGACCGATTGATCGAAGTTCCAGTCCCGGTAGGGGCAAAGAATTTTCTCCTCTTCATTTCGTCCAGACCGTCTCTGGGGTCCACCCAGCCTGCTATCCAATGGGAAGGGGGGGGGAGGAAGCGGCTGGGGCTTGAACCTGACCACTCACCCCCAAGTAGTGCCAAGGTCAAGAAAACTTGTATCTAAACAACCACTCCCCTTACGCCTCCATGGCGTAGTGCTCAATTAGTTAAGAATATGGTAAGTTCTATCATATATGCTGTCACTGATCCCCAGTGAGCCACCGTGTTCTGTTGCAAGAACTTAGGAGTAACAGTGTACAACAGTTATTACTTAGGATAACACACTCACATGGCGTTCTTCACATTCAGAGGACTGAGGCAGTAAAAGGGGATGCAGCTCATTGCTGTGAAGGACACGGACACGACGTAAAACACGAAGCGGCTGTGGTATTGCAAGGCCCCGTGGCAGTTCAACATGAACGTCAGCAGGACCAGAACCACGCCCACCAGCAACAGAAGATCCAGAGGCTCCATCTTCTGCAAGAACAGAACATCGAGTCAGTACGATCTGCTATGAGGAAGGCGAAGCGGCTCTAGTACTGGAAGGCCCAATCGGAGTAGAAAATGAATGCAGCAGTAGGACCCAAGCCACGACCAAGAACAGCAACTCTGTCTTCAAGTAGGGTACAGTGACAGTACGGCGTGTTATGTGGAAGCTGAAATGCCTGTGGTAAAGAAAGGGCAGAGGAACAGGTTGGGTTATCAACGGTTACGGAGCAGGGTATGTGCGGAATTCGAGAACAGTTTGGATAAAAGTGACTGTAATTTTATGTTTGCAAGGGCATGTGCGTCCTTGAAACGAAATGGATAATAATAATAAGAACAATAATAATATGGTGATGTCATATGGCGTGCTTTTCGTGTTTTCTGCGCAATTATGCCTTTGCGTTTTCATATGACGAGGGACTGTACAGACACGATGTACGTTTAAGCGTTTTGCTCGAAGAATATGTATGCTGCTGCTCAATTGCAGAGACAACTTCGAAACCAAACGGTTCGGACCAAAAGTATTTAGCAGTATCTTCCAGACTGACAGACGGCGTTTCATTCCCTAGCATTTCTGCTTCAGCAGAGCGTCGGTACGACGAAATATCGCTGAAGAAGAGACTTAATTCGTATTGTGCATCGGAGGCCTGGAGTTGGTACGCGAAATTCACCTCACAGCTTCAAGCTCCACATTTTAGTCCCCCAGCCGCTTCTAGGGAACTTTTGTGGCGGTCCACAGCATTTGCCACCCAGATCTGTGGGGGCACATGAACGGCCCAGTCCATCAGTAAAGATCGGAAACACGAGATGCGTTGCTCCGCCACATTCTGGATGCTGCAACTGGGACAAATGATGATCACCACGAATTGACTCGAGCTGTGTGATCAATTTACAGACGAGCCACGATATTTCTGAGACTGACGGTGGTCATTCTGAGCAGTTGTAAATTCAGCAATTAAAACCGTATGTAAATACTTGGTTACTTATTTTTATTAGTCTACTTTTCCTTTTTTTTTTGAAAGGGGAGGCTTATGGGATCAGCTTGCTGTGTGTGCGTGGTTTTATCCTTACTACCCTTCCCTAAACGGCCCGTGTCGTATCAAAGGAAAGCAGGCAATCAGTTCATTCTAGAACTTCATGTTTTCTTAACACACAGGTAATGATAAGTCCACAAACGCTGATATACGTATTTCTCACTTGGAATGATTTCAGGTATGATTTCTTGAAGTTAATAACGCTTTATATAATAGTCGTATCTTGCCTCTTTCTGTCGTTTTCTTTAACAGCATCGTCTGCTAAGGGAAGGCAACAGAAGAATATTCAAAATCTTACGTTCTTTCCGCTGCTTGATGAGCTGAAACTTTCTTCAGTTTAATGAAACCGCAGGAAACAACACTACCGATATACGTACTAGCAATTCTGTATAGTACTAAGTTAATTATTTCGACGTTAAACGATTCCTACAGCCGTCAACTATGTCAACGCGGTAACGCTTGCTTCCGGCACAAATATTTGGACTGCAATTTAATGATCTCGTTACACTGCTCAGCGCTATCTACTTCGGGACATCAGCACTGGTCGACAGTCATGTGTTGCGCAGGACGGTTGTCAGTCGAAGGTTTGATTTGTGAGCATTGCTCCTCTGGACACAAATATATGTATCCTGAAAGCTGCTAGTCTGATACTGCGCTCTTCGATGTTTGGGGAAAGAAATGAAAATCTTACAGCAGTGCTACATTCTCCGGTCAGAGTTGGGGCTCTCTGCATCATGCACAAGGAATGGGACAGTTATCATTAAATCGCGGTCGGACCAGGGTCCACTTTCTCACTGGAAATTCAGTCGCAGCGTCCGAACCAGAAACTGTCAACATAATAGGATCTACACTAAGGCCGCAGAAAGATGTCCCAAGTATGGCGGGGATGGCAAGGACTAAGACTTCCCCTTCGTGCCTACTCTTGCGTTCCCTTCCAGTCTCCTCTGGCTTACGTCAGTAACCCCAAAGCACTTTCCGCTAGCTGCCATTATCACGTGCTTATCATTACATCCCACTGTTGTACTTAATTCGGAATGTCTAAGGAACGCACGTGAACAAATGAGAAACAGATAGCAGGGTGCAGTTCACAGTGTGCCGACTATGAGTTTGTCCACCGTGTATTAACTGTTGAACTGAGGAAATGCAGTGTGTGTTCTGCACGAAAAACGAACATACTTTCACGTGTCATACGGTTCGCGTGACTAAGTTAGCGGGTTCTAGTTGGGAAGATTGGATTTATTGAATCTTCGGTTATAATTTCTCTTAATTACAATTAATTCAGCGCTATCGCTGATTTACACAATTTACAGTTCACCGTTGCACACGCACTTGGATTCTCAGTTTCCACTAGCCGTATCCTAGCAACGGATCTCAACACAGAAACTAGCACTTCAAATCACTATGAAGTCTTGTCGTCATTTCTTGCTCAGTCTCCCTGGAACCTCGGAACTCAACTAAAATCTCTTCTTGGCTCTTAACTACACTACACTGCACTCTGCACCAATTTAAGCTGAAACAAGTCTTCGTTATACAGGCTCCGCACGGACAAAATATAAAACATAAGCCACGTGATTCCTAGCCAGCGAGTTCATTGGCGCGCTGACTGTTGCCTAGCAACGAGCTATAACATTCATCCACTGAGGCTCATCTTCCATTGTTGCACGCTGGAACGTGTTTACAGAGTTGTTACCTAGAGACGCTTTGAGCAAATCCGTTACCGAGGGTAATGTTTAAAACTCTTTGATCTGGTAGCAGATAATAAAGTAAAAAGATGGGAACAGGAGAGGCGTGTGTCACATGAGTCAAAAAGGGCTACTAAGAATATTTTTTGGAAATATGGTACAATGTAGGAGAAAAGTGGGAAGATCCACACTGAAGTGCAGAGAATGCTTTAGGAGAGCAGACAGTGACTACATGGAGGCAAGGAAAGTAACAGAGAAGAAAGGAAATCTGTAGAAAAGAAATCCAAGGCTCACAGAGAATCGTAGAGCCAAGAATATGTACACGGAGATCCGTAACAACTGCACAAATCTGTGCAAAATTTTCATTAATAAACCTCCCGACTTCCAGCTCAGAAGTTTATCTGATGTAGTCTCCACAGACTGTACAATCACCATTTCTGTAATTTTAAACAAACATGACATTTCTTCATGGAGAAATTGTAGGTATGTTTCTAACATTAGTCTGACAGGGAATATGGCCTACCTGTTATGGCCCTCAACGGAATAATTAATGACTATTTCGAGCGGTTTCTATGTCATTATTTTTCGCTTCAATAAACATGTCACTGTCTTATACACGTATAATACAAAATTTTACTATCGTACTGAGAATGGTGGTAGAGTTGTTTCCACCTCAGATATTCGCAGTGCTGCCATTCTGCATTACTGATACTATATTAGGAAATGAAAACTGTAGACATGGGGGTTGGCCTCCAGTGATATGACATCCACACAGCACACTTTAATGAAAATTTAGTTACCGCAAAGAATGCTGTAAATCTAGCTTTCCTTAACTGGGAACTAACAGTTATTTACGTAGCTGCAACTAAGCTAAGATTGTAGTCATTAGGCCAGATATTTTTTTTTTTCCTTGGCACTACAGCCCCAGTGGGCCTAGGCCTACCTCCATGAACTCCGTTCACTTCGGTTTTTCTAGATCTTACACATACAGTAGGACTCCTTGGGCGGGTGATCAGCTCGTCGCAAGGCCTCTACCTGTACACAAACACAGAAAAACGCACACAAACATCCATACCCTGAGTGGGATTCGAACCCACGGTCTCGGCTTCCGAGCGAGCGAAGACAGTGCATGCCTTAGACCGCTCGGCTACCGTGACCGGCCAGTAGTGTCTTTTAGATAGTCTTATGATGTGGCAATTAATGCTGTGCAATTAAAACTGAGCTTGTTCCGCATCCTTGACAAGGACGGCCAATAGAATGCCCTCAAACCCCATTTGAGTCAAGGAGGCAGTCATGATTTTTTCCAGAGGGGGGGGGGGCACAAGTCTTTNTGATATCTGGTAAACATATGGATAATACATATTAATTCGTTTCTTCTCCCCCCCCCCGCTCGCACCCGTGGTTTCAGAATCGTACGGGGACAGAGAGAGAAGACAAACGGACAGACCGAAGACGAATGCTCCACAACTGTTTGCGAACTGAGCATCCCTAATCTGGTCTAAATTATGCCACATTTTTTAGAGCGAAAAGTAAAAATAAAATTTTCTTGAATGACGTCACACGAAATGTAGCTCGAAGGTCGCAGTGCTAAGACCGCTTGGCTCCCAAAACGAAGTAAAGAGTGAGAGGAAAATAAGACAGATGACAAGGGGCGGTTCAGCAAGTGACGACCAAAGGTAACCTAAACGAGCGGGCTAAGCACATCACTGAGGAGGGCCGTTAAAATAAATTCTGAGACCGCATTAGAACTTACCATGTTCTTGTTTAATCATTCACTATATTATTCTTCCATCTGACCCTATAAAACTCATGTAGCTGATGAAGCGCCTCCAATATAAAACAGGTACAAACATTAACCGAAGAGGAGATATCCTATGTACGTATGAGACATTTATGTACGTCGTCATAAAGAGTGAGGCAGAACATTATATTGTGAGTAGAAAGTAACAATATTGTATTTTCAACGTATGATGGGGGCCAAAATTGCCTTGCCGAATATACAAGGATTGCCTGCTCAAGGTACAGCTTACCCTTAAAGATGTTTTCGACAGTTTTACTTGTAAATTCGATACTGGAATTGTTTTCGTGGACAGGTTACACTCGTTCACGGACGCGAGAGCTTGGCAACAGTCGATTACACTAATCCATGATAAGCAACACTGACATTCGCGACCTCTGAAATCAACAGCCTCAGTTATCCATCCCCCTTATCAGCACTGCGCTGAGGAATTTCCGCGGTGAATAATTCCCTTTGTTGAAACGTTTAATAACATGA